CCTCGTTTTGTTTATGTCTGTGTATGCGCAAGCTTCTTACATCTTCGTATTTGTATTTGTTTATGTATACCTGTCTACTGCGATGGTTCATGTCCAGAATTACGACGAAAGTTATGGCGTTGAAATTTGGAAACATCGGCCCCAGGAATGAACCGATCCGGAAACGTAAGTCCTTTTGCATTGTAACGCAAGGACCAGCAATGATTTTACATAATAAGTTGGCATTATGTCAACACACTTGTCCACCTAAGGTACAATATCCTAAATCCTTAACTGAGTGCGCATTACTGTTTGGCTGACAGGCAAAAAATCAGTGCAACAATTGGTTTTTGTGTTAACAGGCTGTAAGCCAGCAGCAGTCCATAATAAAAAGCATAGTAATGACGCTTCCTTGGTAGCGGAGCTATTTATTAACTTCTAGTTACGGCAGTGTTATATGAAACCTGATCAAAAGACGCTCCACCAAACCAAATTCATCCTCTCGTTCGCCATGTTTTGCTTCAACGATTATGTGAGAATTCCCCACCGATACCTTAATTATTCAAATTAGGCAATTTGCGCTTCGGATCTTAAAACTGCTAAATTTAGACTTCATTTGCGGTAAAATAAAGCAAAGGCAAAATTAGTACCATTATTAGGCAATAGTTTTCTACTTGGAGCCAGCTATAAGGGAAAAAAAACCAGCGAATATTTTCTGATATAAATCTAACATACGTTTTTGCAACATTCCAAAATGTGGAAAAGCCAAACATACTTTCAAGTCCTCAGGTTTAAACTGTGATAAATCCAGCTGCACATAGAAGGAATCGTTACTTTGCTGGTGCGACGTAATCATACCAGCGCCTGTTGCGGTGCCCATCGCCGAAAGCGTTATCGGTGGTGACTGAAATATCACTTTCATGAGATGCTTTTGTATAAATTAGCAAGAAGTTTTTCAAAAGGAATCAAATAATTAAAAGAACTATGCTACTGCCAGTGAGGGAAATTTGTTGAAGTCAGAATGCCGTCCCGATTCGCCCGCCGTGCATTTTCAATTCTGCCTTTGTGTGAAAATGCAAAGCACTCAATTGGGCAATGTATCCGGAAGAAATTCTGCAATTCGTGCAGCGAACGCCAAAAAAAATTTTGAATGTTCTACACTGAGCTCAGGCTGGGACGCACCAGGCTTGCTGGTGCGATTATGCTTTTTTGTACGAGCTTGAAGCAATCAGGTCGTTAACTGTATGAATAATTGTTGCTTTAGTAAATTTCGCATTAAAAGAAATGAACAATTTCCGTTTAACGGTCATTCTTTAAAAACGACGCAGCTGTTCAGCAAGTAATTTCCCCGCCACAACCTTTAAGTGCCCGAACGTACGAGGCACACATACTAGGGCTGAATTTGAAATCTTTGAGTTGTACTTGGATAGGGAACACTTCGTTAAAATTCCAGCTTTCCAGTTTTCGAGTTCCTAAGTTAACAGTTTTCTCACCAGAACTTTCAAGTCTCCGTACATAAGAATCAGAAACAACTAGAAGCCAAATTTGAAATGTTTAGCTCACACACTCACGGGGAATATCCTTGCAAATTTTTAGCCCTCCATCTTATGTGATTCTCGAGACCGCTTTCCCGCAAAAAACTGCATACCTTTTTAAGGCGTTCGTACGCGGCACTCAGACGTACGCGGCTGATGATATTTAAATGGAAGGGCGGCACACAGGG